TTTATTCCATTTTTCTATGACATGTGTCTTTATTACTGGCCCACTGGCATATTTCATTTGTAAATGAATGCTTGTTCTTATCTATGTGTATCATATRTAGATACCACCATCAAACTTTTCTTTTAAATCCATGTGTGGGTGGGAAATTTCAAGGCTAGAAGGGAATTTTAAAGGCATAAYTCCCATTAATCTTACACTGTGAATAGCTTGCTTTTAATTGGATTTTAGATTGTGGTAAATATAGCTGTGTGAATCAGAACAAAGCATGATAATGAGAGCAAAGTGTTGAACAGTTCCTTTTGGTTATGTGCTGTACATCAGTGTCAAACTCTTTCAGCTCTGTGTTCAAAGCCCGTATGTTATGAGGGAAAAAAAAAAACGAATTTAAAGTGCTACTTTAAGTTGCATACAGCTAGAAAGCTTCCATGTTGTTAATAAAATGTACTTACCYGGTTCCTCCACAATCAAAACCCTTCTTTTTTTTGGAATTATTTTCTGTATTTCTTATATCTTTGGTTTTGATTTCTTTTCCCTAGGAAGGAYTTCAAAATGGATTCCTGGAAACCACTTCTTCTTCTCTATATTTTCATCTTCTCTACAGAGGCACAGGAGGAGACTGGTAATATACTAAAGAAATGACTCTTCAAGTTGATAGCAAAATTCGTTTTTTACATTTATACCCAATGTCAGAGAGAGATGAAGAATTGRCGAAATTGTTTTCTAACCAAGAATTATAATTAGGGATAATGTGGTATGTTTTTATGAAACTTATATTTATAATTACAATAGGAGCATTTTCCTAAAAACGCAAAATTAAATCCAACAACTCATTAAATTATGGGTTTGTTCTGCATGCTGAAGTTTCATATTTGCAAGAACAACAATTGTAAGACTGTCAAAAGCAAGAGAAGTCACAGTATCTAGCAGTTCCGTTTTGGTAGTCAGGTTTTCTGGAAGATCTGTTTGGGACATGTTCTGCACAATTGCAGGATTTTCTGCCTGACTGTCAATTTGAGGGAAAAATAACTGTTTCATCCATGCTCTACAAGTATTATATGCTTTTGAAATTTGTGGGAACATGTGGGTTTAATACTKACTACAAAGAAATGTGCTTAGTACTCTTTAAGTTGGTGTGAACTAATTTTTTTCAGAAAATAAATATTGATTAGTAATGTCTGCATTCAGAATGAAGCTCAAAGTGCATTACTAGCTTTTCCTTTTTTTGTCTTGAGAGCAGGCCAGCATATTCCTATGGTTGTGTTTCACATACAGAAGTGTTTAAAATACATTTTCTGCAAATAAGTTCTGAGCAGACTGAATAAAAATTGTGCTGTGGATTTCAGCATCTCTCCTTTTCCTATGAATGGAGTTGCAGAAGAATGTATCTTCTGACCCTCTGTATKATAAACAGGGGAAAAGAAGGAACTAGTGGGTGATAAAAATGTAGCAGGATAGATGGAAGGGCTTCTTTGCAAAAAACCAACAGGTCTTGGTTACTAAAAAGCAATTAGGGTTCAAAACTACTTTTCTATTAGATTACACAGCCTTTAGGGAAAGAGGAAAGTTACAACAYATTTCTTTGTTTGCAAGAAAGCATCCATGACTGACATAATTTTCCTGGTAGATGGATCCTGGAGTTTAGGGCCAAAGACCTTCAAGAACATGCACAATGATCAATAGCAAGACAAAATCTGTGTTGGTATGATTCAGCACAATGATGTGACATACACTGAATTTTTGCTGAGCACTTTTTATAACAAGAATGATTCTTTATAGAAGATACAGAAATAACATTACGAAGAAGGAGGCATCAGAACAGGGCACAGCCTCCCATTTATGCTAGAGAATCACTTTGTAGCAAGTGCTGATAGCCAAAAAGAGGTTTGTCCAGAGCTTTTTCAGTGAGTACTCTGCTGACAGAATAGAGCATGCAGCAATGGCTTTGAGGAACAGTGCGATCCATGTCTTTGAAGTTGACATAGGGATGAGAAAAAGTCCTTTGAGAGCTGTTTTTAATACCTGATGACGGAGAGTTCACAGCAGAAAACCTTCATGCATTGAAAACCATCAAAAAATGTCAATCAGGTCTGTTAATCCAAACATATCCCTCGTCAGGGTAAGGAACAAACCTTTTTTTGAGCGTATAATGAAAAATATCCACATGGCTTTGTGCAGTCTCTAATGAAAGTACCTGAGCTAGCTGGACTGCAGTGCAAGTGTTTTACCAAAGAATACTGCCCATGTTACTCAGTTTGCAACCTGCAACTTGTACTTTACTTCAGTCAAGAGCCACTACACTCTGCTACACTCTGCTATGGTAAATATCTTCTGAGGTAAGAGAGTGTTTCACATTGATCTGTCATATTCATAGCTCCTCAGTGTCTGAAAGGAATCAGARCAGATACCCCCAGCAGGTATCCTGATAAAAAGAGGGAAACAGACAAYTCAGTAGTATTTGAAAAAGAACCTCATAGAAACATAACTTTGCYATCTCCAGCAGACCATACTGCTTCAGTGGGACTGTCAGCAGTCACTGTCTTCAACAAAACTGAAGACTCAAAAAGGCACTACGAAGAGGGGGTGTGAGTAAATCCATCCTTGGATAATCCATCCTCGGTGTGAGTAAATCATCCTTGGGTGGGAGGTATTGGCAATATGTGAACAGCAAATCCACAGGAATTCTGAGGTGCTACCCAAAACTTTTTCCTAGATGAGAAACAGAAAGTGGTATCTCTTACTATATCTTTTGGATGGCAACAACTGGCTTGGATACCACACAACCTCAGAGCCTGCCAATCCCAAGGAAAATAAAGGTTCAGTATTGCCTTTGSTTAACATAGCAACTTTTATAAAATGTCACATGGTGGTTTTGTGTCTGAGTTTATTTTAACTTGGTGCTAATCATCTTGTCATGTGGGAAGACTGAAGTACACAACATACAGAGTTGCTCTTTAACATTTCATATTCATGCCAGCTGATACTGTAGATGTGCTTTTTTAGCTGAAAAAAAGAAAAATTGAGTCAAAGACAAACCAAAAAGCTTCCTCTTGTTATTCTGACTGTGGTCTACGTGCATGGCATTGATTGGGGATGGCAGAAGAGGCAGTTCTGGAGCACTTCTCTTTGTGCTCATCTTTATAGGGACTGTGACTGTCCCTTAAAGCTCCTTGTTGTCTTCCCATGTGTTGTGTTCACATAGAGGTGATATTTTGCATGTGTTGGATATATGCTCTTTGCTCTTTTTGTTTTGCCATAAAACTGATCCAACCCAGTTCTCCAGGCTGCATTTCCTTTGTGACCAGAAACTTACTGAGAGAAAGGAACACCGGGATGACCACAGTGCTTGTCTAGGGCTTTTTGTAACAACAGCTGAGCCAGTCATGYATCCTAGGTTAGTGTGATCTTGAACACCCGCAAACTGGCTGATATTTGCCAGGGTGATGGGAATTAAAATGAAGAGCTGAGCCTTTCTTCCAAGAGACAGAAGCAACTCTGTGGATTATATCTGCTCAGGTGGTTTCAGAGAGGAGAACAGCTGGGCCTGATTCAGTGTGAGCTTTGCACTCCCACCCACTCCTTTTCCCATCAAGAGCTGAGCATATTCYCAGATGAAAAAGCATTCTCCGGCTTCTGCAAGCAGAGAGGGAGTGCAGTGCCAYGGAGCAGCGTGACTGTGGCTGACGCAGTAGCACCTCCTGGTGTTTCATGGTAGAGAGCAGGGAGATTTAATGAGGGAGCAGTAAACTTCATATATTTACAGTCACACTTGTTTAGACAGAGAAGTTAAGGAAAGCATACTGGGTTTCATCTCAGTGATGCATATATTTATTGCTAAGTTCTGCATAAATTTGTCTCATAAAAMAGAGATCAATTGTGAAGCCTGTTTTATCTTGTCCTGTCATCTGTTTTTATCTATTCACTGTCACTGACCTTCTTTCCAGTAATACGCCTATTAATTCCCTTTCCTCTGGTCACCTTCTCTTAAACTGCCAGATTTTTCAATTAAAAAAGTTGCATTTCAGGGACAGAATTTTGACAAGAGAAAAAAAAAAACCCTTTGCAGCAGTAAGATAGGGCAGCTTAACAACGTGAATGTTTGTAGGAAAACAGGTGATGAGAAAAAATCTGGCAACACAGAGATGTTTACTCCTACAAAYAAATAGGATTATCAACAGGATACCTACCAGTAGCTGTTTTACACATTCTCATGAACAACAACACAGTAGCACAAAGAGTGAACTAGTTACTGCTGYTTTTTCATTATTGCTGGTACACTGAGGACTTGACAGAGAAGGTTTTAAGAGCTGAGTCCATGCTTACCCTTCATACCACATCCAAACTATATGACTAAAAAGACCCAGGTCTTAGAAGAATCTTATTGTGGAAACATACTCTGTGCTGTATAAGAACACACCCTGGAAGAAATATCCATTAGGTTTTGTGTTCATGTGTGCGTGTAGACACATATGCATGTATAGATTTATTTAACTAATTGCTTTGTTATGAGCTATAAAGACAAGTGACATAGATTTTTGATGTTGSTCTGAGGTCTGAATGGCAGATTTTTTCAGACAAAATCTCATTCAATGTGACCTTTTACATTCATGCTGCTTTCCAGCAGATCCTACCCTCTAGGGGGCAGTTTGTACTGCAAGTGAAAACTTTGAAACATAATGACGGTCCCTCTGAGATGAAATTATTTCTGGAAGCATTTGGTTAGAGAACTGAACACATCTATCGCTTTCATGAGCTAAGGAAAACTCAGAGAAGTTATGTGGAATAATGGGAACAAGCCCAAACTAACAAACACAGAAAGCAATCTTGTGATTGCTAAGTGTTTCAGTGCCAACAAGYGAGAAGAGAATAAAATTATGTAGAGTGCTGTTTCACAGCTAGAATTGCATTTTCGCTAAATGCAATTCACAGCTAAAATCTGACTTCCCTGAAGAGGTACAACAAGGATTAATAATGCATCTAGGAACACAGAATAAAATTGAGAAATGAATTATCAAGGTAGAGAATTAAAAAACCACATGGTTTTGCTGTTTAATGAGGGCAAGATGATTGGGAAGGTGGAAGGATTAACCATGTCACAGTATTGGTTGTTATTATAAGGAGTGGTGCAAGCAATTCCATAACTGAAGTAGCTTCAGCTCCATCACCTTACAGCATCTGTTTTTCACTATGGCTATGACATTTCATGTAAGCAATACTGTCTCTTCCTCCCATGTTTGGGTTTTTTTTTTTTTTTTTTTTTTTTTTTTTTTTTTTGCCTATTTTCCTACATATGTATGTATCACCTGATCCTATGACAAACTGGCAAAGCACAGTCAGTCATCAAGGTTCCTTTTGCAATTGGAATTTGTGTTGCACATTCTCAGTTGACAGCAAAGCTCAYGGAGACATTTTTGAAATATGATGCTGGACAGCTGGAGAACAGTGACATGTTTTGCAGTTTGGGTAGGCACAGATGCCCAGTAACTTAGTTCTTAGTATCTGCAAGTTCACATGGCCACACTGAAACCTGTGGGCTGATGGTATTTTATGTTTATGAAAACCTTTCTCACTAATTCTTAYTTCTGTTTTTAAATCTACTATGTCAAATTTTGTTCCACTCCCATGATTCTGACAAAAAACAAGATCYCAAAAAGTGTACGTTTATAGTTTCTGTTTCCTRTATTTATTTTTTCAGAATGCRACATAGATCTTTCTATAGCAATTGATATTTCAAGGCGTATTCAGCCAGCACCCACAATGCTTCTGAAACAGAGATTGCAAGCATTCCTCCCCAGTCTTCTACTCCAGATGAAATCACTGCCAAATACCAGCTGTAATGCTCCAGTCAACATTGGGTTCAAGTTTCAAGTATTGTCACAGACCAAACAATTACTCTTTGACTCTGGTTTTGAAGACTATAATGAAGAGATCATCCAGAAGTTCTTAGATGCACAGACCACTGTGGACACCTACCTGAATGCAGAATTTTTGCAGGCGCTTGAGGAGAACTTCTTTAATGTGACCTCTGCTAAAGTTAAGGTAACGTAATGGTATGAACGTATATCTTGGAAAAATTAGGCAGTTTGATGTTTACAGACTCTGATACTGAGTACTCGAGGGTGACAAAATTTAGCTCAGGAATAGATAATGCTAATGAACAGAATCACAGAATGGCAGAGATTAGAAGGAATCCCKGGAAGTCACCTTGTTGAATCCCTCTACTCAAGGAGGGTCAGCTAAAGCAGGCCGTCCAGAGCCATGTRCAAATGGCTTCTATGTATCTCCAAGAATGAAGACTCCTCAATGCCCCCAGGCAATCTGTGCCAATGCTCAGTCACCCTTGTGTTTTCCTATGTTTATATGGAATCTCCTGTTTTTTCAGTGACTTGATATAACCTGTTGTATCAATTTCAATTCCCTAGGCACTCCTGTAGTGAGATGGTACCCAAAACATTTGGCCTAATATATATGATGATKAGTATTCATACAGAAAACCTTCTTATATCTTCTGTGGAATGGTTGGGAAGTAGAAAGTAGTTTTCTCTCAGGAACACTTATTCCTGAAAGGAAACTACTTTCTTATTCATGATTCTGKATCATTGTCCAGAATAGTGACAACTAGAAGCAGAAATCTCAGAAGGTCAGCTGAGAAATTTGTTCACAGAAATTAAATCATGTCATTAAGTTATCAAATAATTTGAAATAACAAAACTGAGTTCTACRTACAAATAACCGATGATCAGGAAATTCTGCCTAGATGCTGTAGTTAATTCATCTGTCTTGAAGTGAGGTGAAGGAAGAAGTATAAAGCTTCATCTAATCTCTTCTGAAGTGTATGGGTATTCTTTCAACTTGGGTTTGAGAAATTCGGATCTTGTTGGAGTGTTTCARGGTCAATGCCTTGACAATTTATTCTTCATAAATCACTGCCTCTGTAAAGCACTGAGCATGTCCTGTAGTMGCTGCTGGAATATTAGCACTTAATACGGTCTCCATGCAGAAAGACTTTCCTACTAAGGAAGGACTAGTTAGTTATTGCAAAATACATMAGGGGTTTCCTCTTCCAACTTTATTTTCACTTTTATAAACCAGCAATTTTAATCTGACATGGACTGAGGAAGTCATATTACAAATTCTCCTGCTTTCAGATGAAAATTGACATTCTATTTTTCACTGCATTTGAATAGGTGTGTATGACTTATCAATTTAAATTCTCATTTGGTGCGTATTCAATAGGTTTTTCCCCCAAAGATTTCTTAAAATGTCTGAACAGAGAACATGACTACTRTTTCTTCTGAGTCTCAGAGAAAGAACTTGTTTGACATATAAGTAAAAGCAGTGCTTTTTTCCTCCTAATTGCCAATTCCGGAGATGAGCAACAAGAAAGGCTTCTTTCTGCTTAAGCATTATTACTATAAATAACTATGCTGCATATCTCAGCACTTTACCAGTGGAATAATATTCTTCTGTGATACTGTTTATGTGCAAATTGAAAGTACAGAACTTGAGAATGCACATGAAATCACAATTTAATGTTCCCAGGACATTGAGCAAGAACATGCTTGTTCTGTAAAGATTATTAGTTATGAACCTCATCAGGGACCAAGATTCTCTGTTGTCTGAACTTCTTATTTTCTTTGTTATTTGTTTGCTTAGGAACAAAAAAGTTGGACCTAATTCCAGCATTTTCGGCAAAACATGACTTGGATGTATTCCAATAAGATCTTCATATMAACAAATTCTTTGTAAATATAATARTAATATTTACATATATTTACATATAAAGCCAACACTAACACCACACATYCACCCCACTAACACCCCATATTTTTGGCGTGAAAAGGTGGAAATGTAGCCAATACAAATTATTAGCATCCTGAGGTGAGCTAAGTTTTATRTCTTAAGAAGGAAACATAGGGCAATAGAGAACAATAGGAAGCATAGAGCAGAGTGATGTACTGTCTGTGTGGAAAGGGCAAAAGGACATAAATATCTGCATGGGGGGAGGATTAGACCCAGAGAGGATTYGCTTCCTGGTGTGGCTCAGTTGATAGCCAACAGGAGCTGCTCTTGCAGAAATGGGAAAATTTGTCCACTCTAAATTATTCTCCAAGTAAGAGAACTCTTCAGACATTAGAGGAAGTTTTTCAAGGGGTAAGTTATAAAATAATTTCTCTTCTACCTTGTGTGCTAAGATGACAGATATARTGTGATAGCCATGCTATGTTCAGCAAGAAAAATCCCTCAAATGATAGTGCAATCAACAAAGAGAGGCTTTTGTGTTCTGTTCCCCTTGTTCTCCTCTACCATTTTCCAGCACACATTTCAGATCTACCACAGYGTAATGCAATTTGACCATCTCATAGCCATTTCTCAATGTGAACTKTACTTTTTACAAAGAGTGAATTTCATCCCTTTGCAATTGACTTTGCATTACTCCTTTTCCTGACAGGTTCTGCTGGTATTTTCAGATGGGATGGATGATTCACTGGAAGACCTCAAGAAAGCAGCAGACTCACTTCGTTTTAAAGGTATTATTCCAGTACCAGGTTCATGCTCCAGCCTCCTACTACCAAAGGCCTGATGTACAGTTTCCCCATTGCTACTTTTCCATGTAGCACTGCTTCTCCATGCTTGTGTGGCATTGCCAGGGAGTCCCTGAGAGAGTATTTGCTTCTCCATGTGAAGCAGTGTACATGATGACTTCTCCCTATTTGTCAGATGATGCCAGAAACATGCCTAGGGGTGCAGAGGTTCTAGTTTCTTGAGTCCAGCTCCAAAAGTTGGAGMAATTCAGGACAGAACCCTCTCACTGATGAGAACAGCACCAGAGGTTAGATACAGCTCTGACTTCTCTAGGAAAAAGCCATTTTAAACTTGTGTTTGGGCACTGAGTAACAGGCTGGTCTGCAAGCTGGGGAGAGAAGTCAATTGGAAAATTTTCAGCCTGGATTTTTCTCCTACACATTTTTTAATAGCTTCATTTCTTTTAACATACTGTATTGAAGATATGAAATGTAAGTATTTTAGAGAATTGCTGTTATTCAAGTTTATATTGTTGGTTAAATAGTATGTTTCAAGAACTCACTAATTTAAATCTGTGCTTATGTTGAAGGTCTTGATGCACTTCTATTGGTTGGCCTGGACAATACACAGAACTTGACTGAATTTTGGGAAATAGAATTTGGCAGAGGGTTTGGATACAATGAACCTCTGAGTGTTGGTTTTGCAGATATTGCAAACATCTTGCAGAGAAACCTTGTAAGTCCTTCTATAATACAAACAAAAGGTAGGAAAATTCAGTCCCTGTTTTATGATTAATATATTAAAATAGAATGTTTCTTGAAATTTTTCAGGATACTGTTGCAGAAAGAAAATGCTGTAAGGTTATTTGTAAATGTCTTGGAGAAAATGGTGAGCGTGGTGTCCGGGGAAACCCTGGAGAGAAGGTAGGAGATCTAAGATAGATCTTATATATTATTTGTTTTATTTTTCAAAATGTTTCTATTTTTTGTAGTATTTCAGAGCATGCATGCATGTCCCCATGCATGTAATGTTAGGACAGATGAAGGAGAAACATGAAATGGGATCCTTTCTCTGCTTCATGCTCCTATGCAAAAGTATTTTATAATGTATTATTTTTACATATAAAGATCATTAAGCACTCTCCTGCACCAATTCAKCAGAAAATGGAGAGGGATTAAAAAAATAAGTCTGATTAATTAAGAGGATTTTTAGCCATTGCGAATGAGTAACTTCCAACTGGCAAGCTGAGAGTAGAAAATAATCCTTTTTCACTAGGTATGTGCCTTATCCTTTTGTAAATGGTTRTTCCAAATATCCTCTTCTGTAAGTGTGTTTTGATCCAAATGGATTACTTCTAAGACTTTAAATTGTTTGTTTTAAGCCTTTTTGAATACAGACATCACTACTTCTACAGCCTGCTAGTAGAATTCATTATTAAGGTTTTTAATATATGTAGTCTCCATTTGACTACTATTCATTCCATTGTTTCTACTTATTCCAGTGGCATCTCAGGTAAATGATATCCATAGTTCGCACTCTTCAGTTACATGATTGCAGTTAAATAAAGTTTTGGTTATCTCTTAACAAAAGTATAGYCTTTTAATACCTTTTCATAAATCAATTTGCTGATTTCTTCCATTACTCTTGTTGATTTTCTTACATTTTTCTATTTTACTAAAAGTCTACATTATGCTGCTTAGACAGTGTTCAGAATGTAAATATAGTTGTTTTGCAACTAGAAAGTCCCTCTGTTCCAGTTTCTCTTTGCTAAAGTTTTTGCTCTAAGGGTATGACTTCCAATACAAAGTTTAAATGTTCCTATGTGTTTGCAAGGCATTGCAGTAACTTTGTCCTAACAAGTTTCCAGCTCCTTATATTTTTCRTTTCACCTTAGAATTTCATTACTGTGTAATGCTTCCTTTTCCTAATCATTAGAAAGATGTTTAATTTGACCACATATCTCAATGAGCTTTGTTAAGCCAGCAGTTTCCTGAAATAACAAACTGAAATTTTATATTAACCMTTGTTATTTTCTTGAGTTTGTGTTTGGGKTTTTTTTCATATCYATGTCAAATACATAGGACTGTACARAGTGTCTGTGTAAATGCAGGGAGAYTGCCCTCCTCAGCATAACCAGATCTAATTTTCAGGAAACGTTTTCTATCCCTATGTGCAGAATAATCTGATAGAGGTGAACCCAGAGTGCTTGGAAAACARTGTTACTTATCTTTTAAATTCTCATTTTTCAGGGAAGTACAGGTTACAGAGGATCTACTGGTCATCCTGGTGAGGAAGGTGGGATTGTAAGTAAACGCTTATCTTCCTGCTATGATGATGTTACATGGTTCCTCAACCTGTCTGCACTTATTTGCTGAGTACCCATCAATGCTAACTCAAAATTTGTTAAAGGAACAGGTAAATACACAGACCTGTTTCTCGGTGCCTCTGCATCTCACGTAGATAGTAGCACAGTTAAAAAACCGACTCACCAAAAGTGGGTTAGTTATTCAGTTAAAAAAAACAACCCATCTTCAAGTACAGACATTTCATTTGGAGCTTGGTAATGCAGTATAAACATAGAAYGATAATGAGAGCAAAGAACCAGGTGCAACTCTTATGGCTCATATGAAAATTTCCAGGTGACTTGAATTTGTGTCCTTAGTGCGTAAAATGGTGATATAGTTCTGTCTTTCTTTGGTTTTATGTGATCAACCAGTATGAATTAACCAGTAATCATCATTGTATGGATGAGATTGAAMGTTTTCTTTTGTATCTTAGGGGGAGAGAGGCCCAGCTGGTTTCAGTGGCACTCAAGGAGACAGGGGATGTCCAGGTGTCAGAGGCCATAAGGCAAGTATGTAACCTTGAAACACTWACTCATTTTGTTTCCCACAAACCTRTTTTCTGTATTGGGAACAAATCCCTGTGYTGTCTTCCTGAAGCATGGATGGGCAGCAAGATCCAGCTGTAAGAATGGCAGACTGTGTTTGCTGTCTTATTTTGAGAGGTATTTTATGTAACCCAAGCATGGTTGAATAGCTCAGTGTTTTGCTGACTAAGCAGCTTGATCATGAATTTTTCACCACCAGCACCAGACCGGCCTTAGTTAAACCTATAAAGCTTTATGGAATGGGAATGAAAAAGAAGGCTGTACTGTTTCTCAGAGGAAAATAATAAATCCCATATTTGGCCGTAGAGGGTTTTACAGTAGGGACTACCAATACTCAGTCCAGCATACCTCTGCACTGCTATTTTGGCCCGATTTTCAAGCTCAATAAAAATACTTTTACCAAATTTCATCTATGTTTATTTTCAATTTTAGGGTGCCAGAGGCTATAGAGGAAGTCAGGTATGTGTTTACATGTRTGATCAATTTTCTTTGAGATCATGTTTGGCTTCCTTGTAAGTTCATGTAAACCCTGTAAAATGAAATTATAAAGGAACAAAAATAGTGTAAAAACCTCACAACATTTACTGTACTTTTGCTGTGGCTCTATAACAATGAATTTAAGATACCCATCACATTAATCAAAATCGGTAGCCATAACTGTATTTTTAAATGATTGGAGTCATAGTTGATTTAGTCTAACTGACGGGGAAAGGATTTATTTACTGACTAATTGGATAATCTGTTAAGGTGGTAAGAATCTCATTCTAATTGATGAAGAGGAGTAGAGGGAAAAGAAAGATTGTGACTGTTATTTATTGCAGGTTTGGACAGCATTTTCACAATCRTTACTGACAGCTTTTCAATATCCAAACTTCTCTYCAAGCCATTCTTGTCATCTCATCTRTTAATGTTGCAAGTCTTCTTGTTTAACCTTTCATACCTGTTCATCAAGGAGATATGGGCACCAATTTGTTAATAAAATGTAAAGCCAGAAAACAATCATTTATAATGGTAATAGTTTCCAAGCTACAGTGAAATTAACTTGTATTGAATGCTTTGATACAAATTTCATTAAAATGAAATTAACTTGTATTGAATTCTTTGATACAAAACCACTTCTAAAACCTGTGAACCTCAAAGACTCAGAAGATGTTTGCCTCCATAACTGAGCAGCTGGGAGAAAGTTCAGAGTGTGTTTCTGAAACTTCAGCTCTATTAAAAGTACTACTTTGTATTAATTTGTTAATCTTCTCACACATTTCTCTTCCCTTTTCCATTTTCTGCTCTGTTCTCTGAAGTAATTGGTCCTCCCTCAAATATYCAAAACATCTGATTATAGGACAGTGAGAGTACTTGCTGATGATTTCAATTTGTCWAAGTTAAATAGTGCAGTAGGACTTACCATGTGCACAAACCCTACTGAAATCCAGTGAATATGTGAATATCTTCATTATGTTGAATCATTATATCCACAACTTTTATGCTAATTAAAAATATGACTTTCAGCACATAAAAAATGTGATTCAATTGTCCTAAGTTAGTAAGGTTGAGGCAGTTTATTGAAATTAATGAAGTCTGCAAGGCATTTTACTTCAGCTATTTGGAGAAAAGGCAATACTGAATATTTAACAGTATGAAGTGTGGCTCAGGTTTTCTGAGGTAGGAAATGACTGATGGAAAAATAACACTTCAATAAGAGTCGTGATTACTTAGTGCTCAAAATTTTTCTGGAATGCTTATTCAAGTAATTCTTATTTGTGACTTATTAATCTGATCAAAATGTAAAGACAGCTATTTTTTTCTTGTAATAGATACAGAACTCTTTTAAATGCAAGAAATTCCTCCTCAGGAATTTTAACTAGGTGGTTTTGTAAAGTCAATTTAGGATCAAATCTTACAAAACAGTTGTATCTGTGGTTTCTATCAGAGTGAGACTCCTGATGCCTTTAACTACTTCCATTTTCGGTGTTTGTTGAATATAATTTCAGCTTTCCAGGTAGTTGTCTCTGTTAATTTAATTTCTTACTRCAAATTAAAACACCCCAGTTAATTCCTTCATTTTTATCCTAATAAAGAAAGATGGAAGAAGTTTCAAAATAGCCTTTAAAAATTAAGTGTGTTATTTGGCTGGGTCTGAAACATTGTGGAGTATACATAAATGAAACAAGATTCTCAGAGTTACAACTTTATTTCAGTGAGATGCTTCAYACAAGTTAATATTGCAAACTCTTTAGGGCTGAGATGGATGTTTTGTGGGAAAATGACTTCTATAAATATTTGCAATATGGTGAATCATTTTTGCAGTCAAAGGAAAGAGAAAAGCCATGTGAATTTGAAAGGGAAGGTGACTGGTATTTATGTAGCAAGTATYACATTGCTGAAAGAATTATGAAGTTCGTTAAAAAATCCTGAAGTCTTAGATCAGTCTTTTGTAATTATTTTTTAATCATGGTTATTCTTTCTGRTTTTTCAATCCACTGTTCATGTTATAAAACCATGTAAAAAAGAAAAAAAAAGCACAATACAAATTCATATGATGGTTGAAATCAGAATTACAAGGCTATCAGCATGATTGGTAAAATACTACTAGCTGTATTTTTGGAACATATTTGGATTTTGAAGGTGCTGCAGTTGGGAAAAGATTTGAAAGCTAAAAGAAGGAAATGCAGAATTTAAATCCTGATGGAAATCTATAATTTAGATAGCTGTTTTTCTTATTAAGTGTCCTTAGCAATTAGTTGTTTTAGACATCCTTAATTAATCAAAAATATTAATTATTAATTCAAATTTATAGTTACTATTAATTATTCTTGCTAACCATTAAAAACCACAAATCTTATTCAAGTTTCCAAATGCAGGGCACGTTTTTCTTTGCTCAAAGAGACAAGTGGACTAATGCTAATAGGCTTTTTTGTTTTCCCTTATTGCTGCAGGGTGAACATGGTGAGAGTGGATTTGATGGCACTCATGGAGAGCAGGTAATCACTACTTTAAATGTGCAGGGCTATTAAAGACACCAACCTCAGGGTCCAAAGGTACAGATTTTGGGCCTTGAATGGCCTTTAATGCTGAACAGATATTCCCTGGTTGGGCATTTAGAGTTTCATATCTGTTTGRAGCTGGATTCTGCCAGACAAAMC